AAAAAAAAAAAAAAAAAAAGGAAGAAAATTGCAGCATTGCTAATATGCCTCACCTATAGGATTGACATGTCCCCAATATGTCTCTTTCTGTGGATGCTCAAGAGGGTCGCCATAAACCTCACTTGTGCTCGTGAGAAGAAACCTTGCCCCAACTCTCTTTGCAAGCCCCAACATATTAAGAGTTCCCATCACATTTGTCTTGTAAACTCATTGTCAAGGATCTCAATTGCATTATTCAAAAAGGAAACTTCCTAAAGAACCATTATATCAAAGTTATGACACCAAATTAACACTGAATTCATTAACCCGTTTGGTTTTCCGGAAAGGTTAAATTGAATATGCCATACCGTTTAAGAATGCTTTATATTATCCAGGAATCCAAAAAAACACAACAATTTTTCCTTTTACCATCAACAAGACATTAATTATGATGTTACCAAATCCAAAACATGGTTTCACCCTTTCCCCTAGTTGGAATTTCTCTCCTTCACTTCCCTCAATCCAAATATACTGCAGCATTACTATAAATTGGATCGTTATAGAAACAAAACAGCAATTGAAATTTGTAAATTCAGGAAGGATATGATAGTCTTGACGGGATTATACTTATAATGAACAGGAGAAGCCGGGCAAGCCAAATGATAGATCTGATCCACCTCCAAGAGAATTGGCTCAACAACATCATGTCGAAGGAGCTCAAACCTCGGATTCCCAAAAAGATGAACCAAATTCTCCTTCCTCCCGGTGAAAAAGTTATCAATCACAATCACTTCATCACCTCTTCGAACAAGCTTATCCACCAGATGACTCCCCACGAACCCGGCACCACCAGTTACCACGATCCTCAATCTCTGCCGTCCGATCCCTGCGGGGACCCTTCCCAACTTGCTATTCGGAAACAGGAACTTCCCACCGGAATATCCGGACTCCTGGTTGTGAACGATGGTACTCGCGGACATTCCCCCGGGGATGGCGGAACGGACATCGGATGGGCCGAGTCGAGAAAGTGTAGGCTGGAGGATGAAGAAAGTCGATCCAATTAAAATGCCTACCAGAATAAACAAGAGACGCTGCTCTTTGAAGAGGTAGTTAATGGATCTGGGAAGAGATCTGGGATGCTTGAGGGTTTTCGGCGAGTACGGGGGCGTCTGAGGTAGAAGAAGCTCCTCATCTCGCCGGTGGTTCATACTAGCTTGCTTATGCAGCTGTTTCATTACTGGCTACGAATTACTCTCACCAGAGCTTCCCTCAAATTCCGATCCTAAGCTTTAAATACCGAATCACAGAAAACACCGGCGGTGAAGCGTAGCTTAACTGTTTCACATCATGATCGTCGGTACTTCGTCGGTACCGGAGATGGAAATGGAAATGGAAATGGAAAAGGTCTGTTTTCGCGAAATACAGTTACGAGGATTCGAGGTCGAGTAATTTGGTGAGAAATTAGGGTTATATTACGGTGTAAACATGTGTAGAATTAGTTATGGTACTCCTTACTCTTCAGTTTGTGATATAGCATCAGATTTAATCAGGACTGTCAATCTGCGGGTCGATCCGTTAGAAATTTTAAAGCCCAATAAAAATCAAAATTACTGGCCCATTATATATTATTAAAGCCTGGCTTACTGATTTTTCTGTGTTATATAAAGCCCAATAAGAAAGCCCATTATAAGAGACTCGTTAAAGTCTGGCTTACCTTTCCGATTTTTAGGGTTTCAGTTTTAGGAGCAGAGGAACGCAGACGGCGAGGTTGCAATGGGTAAGAGAAATGCGCCGTAAATTGCAATGGAGAGCCATTCTGTGATGATTTGATATTGCTTTTTTTGCTTTTTTTGGCATTGAAGCGAGGATAAAGGTTCACGAGTTGAGGAACAAGAGCAAGGCGGAGCTATTGAACCAATTGAAGGAACTAAAGGCGGAGCTCGCTCTCCTCCGCGTTGCCAAGGTCACGGGTGGTGCCCCCAACAAGCTCTCCAAGATGTACGTTAGTCGATTTACCCTCTGTCTCCGACATTGTGTGATTGTGGAATGGATCTGTAGGCACTTAAGTTTGTGTTTGTTTTGTGTTATGTGCAGAAAGGTGGTGCGGTTGTCGATTGCGCAGGTTTTGACGGTGATTTCGCAGAAGCAGAAGGCGGTGCTGAGGGAAGCTTATAAGAACAAGAAGTACATGCCTCTGGATCTTCGTCCCAAGAAAACTCGTGCTATTCGTAGGCGTCTCACTAAGCACCAGGTATAATTCCATTTCTTTCTAGGCCTAATTTATTGTTGAATTGTGATTTATGCAATGATGTGAGAATCATAAATTTTTAGCTTGTTTATCACTATGTAATCTAACTTAAGAGGTTTAGAATTTGGTTCTTGTGTGTAAGAACTTTAACAGAAGAATATGACTTTGTAGTTAATGTGAGAACTTTTGAAGGCAATCTTGAATGTTGAAATTGCTGTATATACAAATGGTATATTTGAGTACAATTAGGGTGTATTTCAACTCTGATGCATACTATGCCTCTCGGGCTGGAGATTTTTATATGGTCGTAGGAAGTTAGGGACTCATGGTATGAAAGTACCGGCGGTGGGGAAAGCCAGGAAGAACATGTTTAGATTAGAGGTTTATACTATAGTGCACCAGTTTTGGGTAATCGCTTTAACCTTTGGTTGGCTCCATTTTGATATTTTCCTAACCTGTGGAGTGACTGAATTTTGGCCATTCTCGAGAACATTTGAGAACTTTGATATCGTTGGGAGTGTTTGGTTAAATTTTTTTTCCTGACAAAATGGAATTGCAACCTGTTTTACTTATTACACTTCTTCCAAGTTAATAATTGATAATTGTATCTATGTTCAAATGTAACTGCCAGGAGTTTGAGAATCCTTTTTGTAAACATGATTGCTTTGCTGATCAAATGCTTTGATTTTATCATTTTAGTTCCATTAGATACTTGCTGAGGTAAATTTTGGCAACTTTTGTAGTATTGCCGTAAATTAACTTCCTTTCCTTGTTTTTGCAGGCATCTTTGAAGACAGAGCGGGAGAAGAAGAGGGAGATGTACTTTCCACTGAGGAAATATGCCATCAAAGTGTAGTTGGGCTTGCACTTTCCTGGAGTTGTTTTGTTTGAAAGTCAATTGTTTCTCGGAGTATTTGTTTACATCTTGCTTCGTGAGCAACATTTTTGTCTCCAATGTTGTTCTTCGGAACCTGTATTCTAAGTAATATTGCACTTCCATTTCCTTGAAACTAGTTAAGCACATTATTTTGAAGAAGAAATTTACCAGTTCTATTCCAGAACGATGAGTGTGATTTTGGTGGTTTATGATGTGATTCAAGGAATGTGTTATCATGCTATGGCGTTGACATAAATCTGTTCAATGATTGCTGATCGCCCATCTGACTTAAGCGGTCATGCTTTGAGAAGAGAAACAAAGTGATGGCACCCCTCCGGACATCAAGTTTCGAGTCTCAGGTTTGACATTCCTTTAATCAGTAAGAATAGATACCAATATTATAAACATAATTGTTACGTTCAAAAAAAAAAAAAAATTGTTCAATGATCGAATGCAGTGAGAGTTAAACCTATGACCTTTTGATCTAAAGTTGAACGTGTTACTCTACTGCACCTTGTGGTCATTTATGATCAGATAAATTAGAAATGTTCTTCTATAATCTGTTCAATCAGAAGGGAACAGAGCTCCTTTTCCCTCTCCTGCAATTTTTTGATGGAAATAGGGAACGCTTTCCTCCTCCCTCTTCTCAGGCTAAACAGGCGTTCTTTAAGATTAGATATAAGAATCTTCCACATGTTTTCAATAGGTACTCGTCATCCCAAGAGATGATATTGTGTAGCAGAAGTAGCCACCGGTGGAGCTAGGGCTCCTCATATGTCTTAAGCCCCCTAAACTTTAAAAAAATCATTAATATAATCCACTAATTTTTATTTTTATTTTAAAATCTGTATTTATTTTGTACAATTTTAATACATTTCTTTATTAATAATTCATTTTACCCCCTAAAATTTGTCCCTAACTCCGCTATAGGAGCTAGCACTTTCAAGGAGCTGTTTGATTTGAAAATCAAATATTTCTTTGAATATTAGTTTGCATGTCGCTTTGTATGCAACATTTTTTGTCTCCACAATTGTTCTTCCAAATGTGAAATCTAAATGGAATTGCACTTTTATTTACTTAAAGCTAGTTATTCACATTATTTTGAGAAGGAAACTCATCAGTTCATACGAATGCAATATTCGTTGGTCTATAGTCATAGACGGTCCCCACTGCTGACATGATTCACATCAATATACACATGCTAATCTAAAGTTATGACCTTTTGCTCCAAATGCTAATCACTGCACCATGTAGTCATTTCTGACTAATTTTGCATCTTCAAAATCTAGATTTCAGAAGCCAAGAGTTTCATGCTATTCTAGCCTTTTTCAAGATAACTCTTTTTCTATTTTTAAGTAACCAACCACAATGAGAGTCAAGCCCATGAGTTTTTGATATGAAATCAAACACACTAATCCATTGCTATGCGGTCATTCATGTTAAATTTTGCATCTTTAAATATTTGATATCATAATCTTTAGCTTGTTTTTGATATTTTGTTTTCAAGAGTTACGACCAATTAATATTTGTCAATTATCATCTTACAATTAATAATCCACAATAATACACCTATGTTTTCCATGTTATCACCACCCACATCTCCATGTCTTCATGGCCATTGGTCCTCTAGGAAGCAATTTCAACATTATGGATCATTAGATAAGTAGTTGCCCACCTACTGAGCCTCTTACAAACACTCCTTTGACTTCACATCACAATTTACCAAAAAATCTAAGAGATCTTACTACCAAAATGGTCACCCTCACCCTTATCTCCTCATTTTGTGGGTTATAATCAAGGTTGCCAATACTATACTAGTATGTGTATCAATTTGGTTACTAGTATAGTACACATCATATATCAGACTATACTATATGTTATTTTTAATTTATTGTTATAAATATATATTTTTATATAAATTAATAATAAACTTATAGGATAATACTTGTTAGACATAAAATAAAATTATTATCTTAAAATATAAATTTGTAGACAAAAAAATAATATTATTAATATTTAGAAAAATTAATTCATTGTTAGTATTTAAATTTGAAATAATTAATTTGTATGGGTCATTATGTAATTTTTGAGAAAGTGGAAGGGAACTCTTTTTTTGTCCTTAACTTGTGCTCATTGTGATCCTGTCCTGTATCTCAATAAATATGTCATCTCCGATCTCACCTTTAACCACGTGTCTATGCCTGTATATGCCATGTCTCAACATATCATTCAAACGTATTTTTTTGAAAATAGGTAATGGACATTCAAAAGCATTTGGATCATAGTGAAATTGGGATGACGTATAAGTGAGGTTTATTTAATATTTTAATAATAATTAAAATTATATATTAATATTATCATATTATATTTTTTGTTTTTTGTTTTAAATTAGACCTATTAAAAAGAAAAAAAAAACCTTCGATCACCCACTTTTGAAATTGAAAATTTGAAACTGAAGATTACAGTCTGCTTCAACTTCTTTTTTTTTTTTTTTTATTACAAATTAAACCATAGATCACTGTGTTTGTCAGCTTTCTTCTTCTCTCCCTCTGTGCAAATTTGATTAAACTAGTGCCAGCCACAAATTATCGGATCCGCCTCCAATTTTTTCACCATCATTACCCCTTCTACATAACCCCAAATTATTCAGTATCACCCTTGCAGTCACAGACTCACAGACTCACAGCCTTCTTCCTCCTTTTCACCCTTTTTCATTTTTATTTGTGAAGATGCCTTGCAAATTTGTACAGGCCAAAATTAACACACTGTCCGGTACACGTTTTTCTAGCAGATATGTACCTTTTTACCACGTACAGTCGAGAAATTAACTCATATAGTATGATGTCTTATAGTGTATCGATTTTCTGCAAAATTCAGTATTTACCTGTCATAACGGTTGGTCTGGAACGAGATTGACAACCAGGACTCATAAAGTCATAATCCCTCCATAGCTACAACTTTGGCCTCATGTATTGGCAAATTCATTAACAATGTCATTTTGACTTGCTCAAATTCGCTACTTACGTGAACTCATCAATTAATCACAACCCTTTTTTTCGTGCGTGGAATAATTACAACCCACTTGATTCTCATTTCAAATGGCATATCACATCACCATCAGTGAGGAAAAATTTCCAGAGTGTAATAATATAAATTGCATACAAAGTGACAATTTACAAGCACGGGAGTTGAAAATTTTGACAATATATAAATGCACCGGTGTGTCAGGGGAAAAAAGCGAAAGAAAATGAAAGCAAAATGATTAGAATATTTTTTCAGTTCAATATATTTTTCATATTTATTAGTTTAATTACTAAAATTTATAATTTTAAATTTTTTGTTTTTAATTTAAATTTAAAAATAATAAATTTTAATATATAAATATATTAATTCAAAAGATATATTAATTATTGTTCAAAACAAAAAACATGGATAGCCATGTGACTCGGTATCTATATATAATCTCTGGTTTGGTTACTTGTAAATGAAGCTCGGTCTCCAGAATGGTCGCGTGGCTATAAATAAAATTTTCACACGACATAAACAGATAACGGACAATAAAGGAATGAGATACCCCTGACTTAAGGGCATTGGATATTATTAATTTTAACACTGAAAAAGATGATGTACAACATTAGAGGAATGAGATTACATTAATTCCTATACTAGATAAATTTTGAAAAAAAAATTTAATCAAATGTGCATGCAGTGCAGTGATGCCATTTCTGGAGATCTATCGTGTTATCTTTGGACTTTGGTGTCAATCTTCTTTAATGTCACTGTTAGAAACTGAAAAAAAGAATAAAAAGAAATACTTAAAGAAAGGTTTTTCTTTTTGTTTTCATTGTATATATAAAATATATATATATATATAAATTTATATAATTAAATGTTTTTAAGTATAAAATTAATTAATTTAAATATATTCAATTAATTATATATAAATATAATATTTTAATATAAATATTAATATTCTAAAATAAATATTGATATTCTAAAAGCAACAAAACCGTGGTACAAGATTACGCAACAGTGTTCTCTAAATTCAAACACGAACATGATATATGCTTGTAACAACAGGAATTCAAGGAAAAAAGTCCACAGCATTCTTCATAAGACAGCCGCCGTTACTGGGTATTAAGGTTCACATCTGTATTGCGATGGAAGTAGAGTTAGGCAATTCCCGCACTCAGTCAAAAAGCATACCAAGTCCATCCTACATCAGGTTATATATATTAATATTGCTGCATGTTCTTCTATATATATACACTCCCTCTATTAATTTTTAATATAAACTTCTTATTATATGTTATAATTCCTTCGACTTTGTCTACATATAAAAGCTAGTTAAGAAATTTAGCATTTTTGATTATGTAATTACATGTGAAAAAGTATCATGTCGAAAATGTGTCAAGTGAATCAAATAATACGATATCAGAGGGCGGAACTAGTGGCAATGCTTGAAAATATTTTTAAAAGGTAAAATGAAATATTGATTAGAAAATAAATGAAAATTATATAAAATAAATAAAGAATTTAAATATACAATTAATTGAAATAAAATTTAATAAACATAATTAATAAAAAAATATATTGAAGTGCAATTCGTTCGATATTCCACTTCCACACAAATTCTCAGAAGTTTCATGTGGCCTCCACTACTCCAGCGCGCCCTTTCACGGAACCACAATTGTTTTGGCCGGTGAAAATGGTACGTGCTTTGAAAAGTTAAAAAGTAAGGGGGCTCAACCCAAGATTTTTAATAGGGATTGACCATCGTGTGTTTTAATGTTACATATTAAAAATATAATAAATATATACTTTTATAATTAATTTATATTAAAAATTATAAAAATTGACATATATATGGATGGTTTTAATTGATTAATTGATTAAATTAAAATTAAAATTTATATTTTTTAATAAAAATTATTTATAAAAAAATATATTTATTGCACTTTAAGGGTATAGGATAGAAAAATGTTTTTAAGGAAAAAGTTAAGGCTATTATTAGTATGATTTTAGTTTTTAATTTTTTTTAATTTTTTTAATTTGATAAGCACCATTATATATATAGAAATTAAATTTTGTATAAAAATTATAATTTATTTAATTTAATCTATATATAATATTAAACAAAGCCTAAATGCTCAACCTAAATCTCTTTGCAATGAAAAAGAAAAAAAAGGTTAATTATTATTATTTTTTGTGAATCAAAAGGTTGATTGATTATTATTATTTTTTTATCTTAATTGCACAATGAGAGGTAATCATCTTCTATCCCTTATCTCATCCCACTCACATGTCATGCAACTCAAACTCAGGACCTCTTACTTTTAATAAAAAAAAATGACCACTAAATTATTTAAATAGTTGGCAAAGGTTGATTAATTATTATACATGCTCTTAGTGTTCATTTAATACACATTTTCATAATTAATTTACATAAAAAATTACTTGTATCAGAGTAAATTTTATTTTTAATATCAATGTTACATAAAATATTTTAATTAAACAATTAATAAAATTAAAATAAACTTTTAGAATTTTTCCAACATGTATCTTAGAGCACAAATTAATTTTGCAATTATTGTACATTTTTTATATTAATTAATATTAAAAAAGTAAAAATTAACCTTTATTCAAGCAATTATCCAGTTAAAATGATACATATGACATTAATAATGAAATTAATGATAATTTTTATATTTTCAATACTAATTAATGTGAAAAGGATTGTACCTTTAAAGTACTTTGAAAAATCCTAAATTTTTTATTTTTTATATAAATTAATAAAAAAATATAATAAATACACAAAGAATACAAGATAGAAAATTCCTTATATTTATTCTAAACAGCCCCATGATGCTACTAGAGAATTCAATGAAAACCAATCCCTATGCTTAGATCAACTGCTCAACTATTAAGAATAGCCCGTTTTGGTCTAATGACATGGACCTTGAGCCAAGGCCATTCATCTCTTGTAGGTAACGTATTTAAGCCTCGTGGATCCCTTTTTTTTTTTTCCACTTAACTAATATATGTAACTAATTTCAATCTAATAAAATAATAATAATAATAATAATAATAATAATAAAATTACTCAACTATTAAGGCAACGATCTACTTCATTCATTCGGCGTTTGAGGAGAATTTTTTTCTTTCAATTTAATTGTCATTTTAAATTTTCAATGCAACATTAATTAATTATCTTCTCATTTTATTCTTTAACAATAATTGTCTCCTTCATTGAAACAGTGAAATAAAAATGAATTTTAAAAGTATAATTTTTTACTTGAAATATATCTAGCTCTAAAATTAAGAGTAATTTATTACTTTCCTTAATTATAAACTCTTACTACTTTCACTCAAATCATTTAATAATGTGAAATAGAGGGAGTAGTAGTACTCTTATCTCAATGAAAATAATAGATATTGAATTTAAGTCATATGTCATTCAAGTTGAACATATTAATGATCCTGTTATTTAACCTAAAAGAACCATTAAAATGATTATTAGTGAATAATATAAAATCTTAAACATAAACTAAATTCAATTTGTTCTTAACAGATCCTTTAAAATCATATTGAAAATAAATCTAACTTTTTCAATCCGGATAGGATGAGATAAGAGATGAGAAATAAAAAATGGTTGCTTTTTATTATGCAACCAAATTAATTAAAAATTTTTTTTTTTATGATTCAATAATTATAAATCATGTTATAACTGCACCTTCGGCATAGGAATTGAGTTTCCAATCCCCCACTTCTAAAGTTGTAACCATTCAAAATAAAAATAAATAAAAATAAAACCCTTGTTTAAAACCATCTGAGAAAAAGAAAATTCCCTAATTTCCTAGTAAAACCGCAATCTGTTTTTCTCACTTCGCCTTTCGAATTTACAAGAAAATACTTTGTAATTTCATTTTCATCCCATCAATCTTCAGTTGCTGTCACTTTACGTGTAACACGCAGGGGGGGAGGACTTCGAGTTCAAAACGTTAAAGTCCAACCCCACCTTTCGTTCCAAGCAAATGCTTTCGAGGTCCCACCCTCCCTCCTCTATCTATAAATACCCAGCCACGAGTCTTCGCCCAAATTGCATCTTTTGCCCCCAAACAGAGCAAGTCTAGCTCCTCTAAGCTTCCACTTTCCACCCAAATTTTCTAAAAGAAAGAGACAGAGGTCGAAAGTCGAAACACTTAGTTGCCTCTATTGTATTTGTAACCTTACAAAATGCCGATCAAAGGGATGAGGAGCCTCTGCTTACGTGCCCTGAAGGCGCCGTCGTTCTCCATTTCAGGCCATCCGTCTTCACCTTCCAGAGCCTCCCAATTAAGTCCACACCGGAGTTCTTCGGAATCCATGTTCGAACAAACCGTTGAAGCCGCAACTTCGATCATCATGAAATGGAATCCAGACACATCAAGTTACGCCAGAGTTACTTCTCTCTTTTACTCTTGTAAAAGTGAGGCGAAGCAATTCTTGAAATGCGTTAACGATCTGCAGAAGGCTATGCATTTGTTAGTTTCCGACGATTCGGCATCGGAGAAGCTGATTCAAGCTCAAAATCTCATGCAGATTGCGATGAAGAGGCTCCAGAAAGAGTTCTACCAGATTCTTTCAATGAATCGAGCTCACTTGGATCCTGAATCAGTCTCGGCGCGATCATCACGCGCCTCGACTAGATCGAGGACGTCTGATTACGAAGATAACGGCTCACCAGACAATGAGATTCGCAACGCAGGCGATTCCATCTCCGAAGTAGAGGAAGTTTCCTCCATAGCCATGGCGGATCTGAAATCAATTGCCGACTGCATGATCTCCTGTGGTTATGCTAAAGAATGTGTATACATTTACAAAATTAGCCGCAAATCCATTATCGATGAAGGTATCTACCGGCTCGGAATCGAACGAATCAGCTGCTCTCAGATTAACAAGATGAAATGGGATGTGTGGGATTTGAAAATCAAGAGTTGGTTAGAGGCGGTGAAGATCTCGATGAGAAAGCTCTTCCACGGAGAGCGAATTCTCTGCGACCACGTTTTCTATGCCTCGGACTCCATCAGAGAATCTTGCTTCGCCGATCTATCTAGAGAAGGAGCCACACTTCTCTTTTCGTACCCCGAACTGATCGCCAAAACGAAGAACTCGCTAGCGGAGAAAATGTTCCGCGTGCTTGAGATGTACACGGCAATATCAGAACACTGGCAAGAAATTGAATCGATCTTCTCTTTTGAATTAACCTCCCCCATCCGATTACAGGCTCTGAACTCGCTCATCCGACTCAACGAGTCAGTCCACTCACTGCTCGCGGATTTCGAGTCCACAATCCAGAAGGACTCGTCGAAAGTGCTGGTCCCCGGCGGTGGCGTGCATCAACTGACACTCGACACGACGAATTATCTTTCTCTCATTACCGACTTCGGCAACGTCCTCACCGATATTTTTGCCGACTGGCGACGACCGGCGAAGTCTGTATTACCTGAACCGTACTTCGATAGTGCAGTTTCAGATGATTCTACGGCACCGGCGATCTCCCTGAGGATAGCGTGGCTGATACTTGTGCTCCTCTGCAAGCTCGACGTAAAAGCGAAGCGCTACAAAAGCGGCTCCCTGTCGTATCTGTTCTTAGCAAACAATCTCGAGCACGTAGTCGCCAGAGTCCGTAGCTCAAATCTCCAATACCTCCTCAGCGAGGAGTGGATCGCGAAGCACGAAGCCAAAGTGAGGCAATTTACCGCAAATTACGAGCGGTTAGCATGGGGCCAAGTGCTCGCTTCGTTACCGGAGAATCCAACAGCTGCGATTTCATCCGAAGAGGCGAAGGAGTACTTTAGGAAATTCAACTCCAGTTTTGAAGAGGCGTATTGGAAACAAAAATCCTGTGTCATACCGGAGCAGAAACTTCGAGACGATATAAAGGTTTCGATCACGAGTAAGCTGCTACCGGTGTACCGGCAGTTCTATGACACGCACGGGTTAACGTTCGGAGAAGAAGAGAGGAACAGAATGTTATTTGTCAAATTTACCCCTGAAGAATTGGGAAATTACTTATCAGATTTGTTCTTCGGGGCAGGTAATTCGGGAAGTTCATCTTCGTCATCGTCTCTCCGAAAACACCGCGATCGCCGTTGAGACCTTAGATGTTTTATCGATAATAATGCTTTTTTTTTTTTCTATCAAATCGTCAGCCTATGAGGTATACTTGTGCACAAAAATAGTAGGCGTACAATACCTTTCATATAATGTTTTGAGCATGTTATAGTACAATTCATCTTTTACAAATTGTACTAATTTTAATTGTTAATAGAGAAGTAAATCTTTAACATCAGAATATTTATATAATTTTTAATTTTATTACTTAATAACAACTAATCTTTATATAACACATAATTTTTTTAAATAATTTTTTATTATTTAAATTTAAAATTTTTAACTTAAAATTTTAAATTCTTACTAATTAATAGGAGTACTTTTTAAAAACGACAAACATTTCCAAAGGGATTGTGGCTCTTTAACTAATTATACTATTTAAGTGGTACATATTTTATTAGTGTCTTAACTTTTATCCTCTTAAACTAATCAAGCAATTTTGGCCAAACTCAATGACTTCCATCACTTGATTTTACAGTATAGTCCATGTTTCAAACTCAATGACGTCTTCCAAATTCGCCAATATTTGTAAAGAGATTGTGAGACTAGCCTTGCCCCAAAAGGAGTATATGATGACCAATCATCTTAAAGGCTTGGTGGTTCAAGTTACTTGTGATAAGCACCAAATCTTGAGTCATGAGTTCAAGCAACAATTGCTTTCATGTGGGGAAAAAAAAAAACATAAAGACATTTCATGCATGTGATGAGATTTGCAAGTCAAATGGTAACCACTACAAATAATAGTAAACATACTAAAAAACAAGGACGTACTGTCTGTTTATGAAAATTCTCAAATCATTGGCTATTCATGAAGGAATAGAAATGATCTGTTCTCAAAACTGTCGTGTGTACGTACATTTCTAAGTGCCTAAGAAAGTGGCACTAAACCGAATGGTGTCAAAAAATCTCTGAGGGATACAACTAACTCCTTTGCCTTTGCCCCTGAATTCTAGAGATTTGGCAAGATTAATTTGTATGAGGCGACCATTTCAATTCTACTTGTCAACGGTACAACTTCAAGCTATCACCTCTAATTTGTCTCATGGATTCGCGAACAAGGAGTAAATAATAATAAATGGAACAGGACAGGGGTGGGAAGAAAGATGGACTGACTGTCTAACTGGAGCAATAAGACCGTTGGGCAAGGGCTGACAATACCTTTTATTTCACAAAGATTTGACGGAAAACAAACATTTAGAGGTGTGAGTTAATTACATTGCACAAGCACTAGCTGACAAGAAACATGTATGTATTCATTTTATATGAACTAAGAAAGGAATCCAAGAAGGAAGAATTGTTTATGCATTGTCCCTATAGACATTTACATCTTAATAGGTAAGAATTTAAATTTTTATATTGAAGATATCAAGCTTAAATTTTAAGATAAATAAAGGAAGATTTAAAAAAAAAAAGCAAAAAAAGACACGTTTATGCGGCGACTGGTTCAACTGGCTGCGGAACGTGCTGCCATCCAGTGCACTGCTGAAGGGCGTGTTTGAGGGAGTCTGTTGGTCCATATAGGGTAGTGTTCACTAGGATGAAACATGTTTGACTGACCTGCAGTTTGCTCAGTTATTAGGGCTGGTTGGGTTCAGGTAATGAACAGGTCCCCTTCACAGATTATGCGGCCGATACTCGCCTCGTCCTTGTCAGCGGCCTGTAGAACACATGTAATGGCATGAACAGAACAAGCACTGAAAGAACATGCTACATACTACAATCCGAAGAATACATCAAACCAGTGGTTGAAATTATATCAAACAAGTCATAACAGTGTTTTTCTTTGCAATATTTTGTATAATATGATGTGATATCAAACTAATAATTAAGTGATTGATCCGTTTTAATCACTTCATGGGATGGTTAAGTCGGTATCCATCCACTTATATGTTACATTATATGGAACATTATAAGGTGCATTGTAAGGAAAAAACGTTATAGCTTAATCATTATCATTTATATATCTAACTCAGGGATGGAGCCAACATAGGAAAAGTGGGTAGTCATTCTTGTAAACTTTTGAAAAATGTTAAATATGGTATAAATATTTTTAATTTTTTTATAAAATTTATTTTTGAAGTTTGAATTATAGAAACCATTTAAATATAAAAAAAATATTTATGACTTAAATGAAGAGATCATTTGTAACTAATTCTTATAAATACATTAATTTTATCTAAATAAGAACAAATATAAAACATACTCTAGATCTAGTTATATTAAATATAATTTATATAACTCATTACATTAGTTATATATAATTTTTATTTGTATGATTAATATTCTATTAAACTTATGGTTAAATTTATTTTATTTGTGTAAATATGTTTCAAATTTGAAATTAATTAGATAAATGTAACTTTACAAAGAAAATAAACTATATTTTTATATTATTGATTTAATGATTTTAAATTATATACTATTGAAAAATAGTTAAATATATCTAATTAATTTAAAATTTGACATAAATATTATAGGTGGTACATGCATAAAATTAACAATTAATGTAAAAATTAATATCAATTATACTATATAAACTGATAAATGACTCAAAAAAATTTTAAATTCTACCCCCTAACATAAATTCTTGGCTCCGTCCCTACTAACTATAGTATTAGATAAAAATAAAATTTTAATAGAGAAATGTTAAATCCTGCCTTCTTTATGAGATACTTGAATGCCACCTTCTTTGACTTTGCTTCACATATGTTGAAGGATATGAAACTAAGAAAGGAGAGATTGAGTGCAAAAGCAACACACTTCATTCCATTTTTTAAAATATATAAATGATGACAATTATAAAACTAAAACTACCTCAACAGTTATTAAAGATAAAAATAACTCTCAAAACAAACTGCAACAAACTAAATTAAATTCAAATAAGAGATAAATTGACTCAAATAGATAGCAACACAGTAGCTTTGGTAGCATGCTTATTTGGAATAGTTCAAACAACCACCTCCTTGGCAACAAAGCTGCAAACTACCTCAACATTTATCTACCTTTGTTGCATGTGATTAAATAGGTACCAACTTATGCCAAAGTGATCAAGGATCTATGCACCATGAAAAGGAAACACCACGTCAAGAAAATTGCATTCCTGATAGAACAGGTAAGTGCAGTGATTGAGCAAAAAACACCACCAAAGTACAAAGATCTAGGGTGCCCAACAATTGCTTGCCAAATTGGGTCACAAGAGTTTGGTCAAGCTCTTTTGGATTGAGGAGCAAGTGTGAATTTAATGCCTTATTCGGTTTATTTGCAACTAGGTCTTGGAGAGATAAAACCCACATCTATGGTGTTACAGTTAGTTGATCGTTCTTGTAGGAAACTAAAAGGGATAGTATAAGCTATTTGCTTTAAATTGACAAATTTTATTATCCTGTTGATTTTCTTGTTTTAGATACTTAGTCAACAGTTAATAGTGAGTTAAAAATTCCACTTATTTTAGGAAGGCCATTTCTTGCTACTACTAATGCTCTTTTTAATTGTAGGAATGGTTTGATGAAACTTTCATTTGGGAATATGACTCTTGAGGTGAATATTTTTCATGTTGGGAAGCAACCACATGATGATGATGATGAGTGTTATCAAACCTACATGATAAATTCATTGGTTGAAGAAGCATATGAAAGGGAAATTTCTAAATCTTTAGAATACCTCATTGGTAACATTGATTTGGATGCTAACTTTTTGAACTATCCTATTAATGATCATTCTAATGTTTCTTCTATTTCTAAGGTTATGCAAGATAAACGCAAAAATTTTTTACAACCACGCTTTGAGGAGTTGTTATATGATAGGAAACATTTGAAGCCATTTTCAATGGAAATGCCAAACGTAGAGTTATCCCCACCTTTTGAAGGGTTGAAGCATGCATTCTTGGAAGAGTCTTCCAAATTATTAGAC